ACTTTTTTTCCCCTCACTTCCTTTCTTGCTGGTACTTTTTCCCTGCTTTTGCTTTCTTTCTTGCTTGTACTTTTCTTTGCTTTCCTTCTTTCAAGCCGTCACCGCTTTCCCTTTCCCTTAAATGGCCTAGGCAACTGCCAAAGGATCTATGTCACATAGCCAGTCAGTGTAATCACCCAACTCATCCCCTGCCTCGAGTCTCTGCGCACGAAACCCGCACACACCACCCTTCCCCCTCATCCCCATCACAATCCCCTCTCCGCTCCTCGAATATAACATCCAAAAGTATGCTCATGCATTGCCAAGCCCTCTTCTCCCCACTCCTCCCTCCCCCTCCCCCCTCCTCTATACGCTCTGCAGTACATATCCTTCTCAAGCCCTTCCCATAGCCCGCGCATCACGACAAAACCAGTAACACGGGTTCTGCTCCCTCCCGCCCATTACCCCCTCTACCCTCTCCCCTACCTGGTCACTCGATGTTCTATCCCTTCTCCCCAACCTCCGAGCCTGCGGTTACCACCTCCGCACAATAGCCCCCCGTAACCCCTTCCTGCTCCCCTCTCTCTCCATCCCCTTTTTAACCCGCCTCCGTTGCGACAGCATCAAAGTTCAGTAAGTTTTTTTACGCAGTTCGGATAAACTACAGTTTATTAACGCATTTGAGTGGCGTCTTTGACGACTGCTTAGAATGATCCATTAGTGGTGCCCATGATTAATATCTGCTGTCATAAGCTTTCACATGCTTTCTGCTTGTCAGAGCAGAGCTGCGACGAATTTCGGTAATTTATCGGCCCGCTGTTTCGATTCAAAAACAAGTAATTTTATCGGTCTTCACTAAACTTAACGAAAAAAGCATAACCTTCCTGTAGTCATCAATAAAATAAAACAGGCTGTAAAAATGCGAACATTTACCTTTCCGGTTCCTGAAAGGGACGAGAATTAGTCAGGAAAAAGCACGAACTGAAGAGAGAGAGCATTAAAATTCACAAAGCGTCTTAATGCAAAGTGTAGCCTCAGTGGTGAGTTAGAAATATATGTCTTGAGAGGGCTTTTTTTCTCGAAATGTGCAATCAGAGTGATATGAAAATGTTAATGCGCTCAAAACGTGCAACTTTTAAATAGCCAAGACTAACTTTTTTTGGCCCAATTTCTGGAGCACGTCCTGCAATTTATAATTTTCCGTGAGAAAAAAGCATTTGATTATGGAAGTTGCTGAGGACAAATCAAACACGAACATATAAACTCAGTGGTATAATGCATAGGATGAAAATTTCAGATCAAGAAATAATTAACTCAGTAAAAATATTACTTTTCTTCTTTTTTCGCCCCTTTGGCACTCGAAGTTTCTGCAAATACAGAAGCGGTGATGTGGGGATACAGCAACTTAGTGTACTTAATAAAAAAGTGTCTTAACAGCTACGTAAAATCTTTGAACAGTTTCTAACTGATGATCTCAGTTAGGAACTGGAGTATTTGCTGGTAAGTTTTTTTCTTCAGCTATGGCATAAAACTTACGTAGCGTTCATCAAAATAACCGTAGTAAGGATTGTAAGCATCCACCACTTTGTCATGCTGAAAAAAAACAGCTCAGAGCCAAACGCTAAGAAAACAAAAGTTCTCGGCAAAAGCCGATCTTCTCGCAGGTCAGCACTGCTCAGCGCAGACTATGCACGGTGACATGTGAACTGCCGGGGCGCCACATTACCGCAGTAAGTTGTTTATAGCCCCTGCTAGTGAATGCGCAATACAATGCTGAAGTCCTGCGCAATTTTGTTTCAGGAAAAAAGAAGTTTCACAAACTGATTTTGCTTCTTTGGACCCGCACATATGACGAAGAAACCCACAGTACAAATTTTAGTCTTGCTGACTTTCAAAAATCTCAAGTCTGTTCAAGGAGACAGCCAAGCAGGAGCGCACACATATACGCACACACACATATAGCCTGGCCATAAATCGTTTTTTAATAAAAAAATATTTCATGTCAAAAAGCATAAGGAGCCATGAGTTTGCTTTAGCAAAAAGTTTTTGACTTGCGCATGTTTTCTAGATCACTCAACTGCATAAGCAAACAAAATTTTTATTGAAATCAGTAAGAAGCAGAGAAATGATCTGCAACTCTGGCCTTACTAATCTTTTGCCTTTTTTCTTGAGGACTTATAGTGAAACAAGCACAAGTCGCTGTATAAATCGTTGCAGTCCGTGCATCTGTTGCTCCGCTCCTGCTAGTTCCTCACTATACCTCTTTCATCAGAGAAACAATACAAGTCTGTGTGGCAGAGTTAGAACCCTTTCGGGGTTAACGAGGATGAAACAAACTGCAACCACCATTTCTAGGCAAATAAGTGTGCCCCTACCTTTTTAAGCGTTTTTGCCTATATGCAAATTGCAAAAACGCATATTGGGACGACCCTGTCTGTGTG